CTATCTATCTATCTATCTATCTATCTATCTATCTATCTATCTATCTATCTATCTATCTATCTATCTATCTATCTGAGAATCTATGTAAGAATTATATAAAATGGAGCTTTGCAGTCAGTTTAAATAATCCCTTGTATGGGAACCATGCTTTAAAAAGCGTGTTATGTAATGTTTGCTGCCCCAAGAGTTGCACAGGTGAAAAATATCTGGTCCCTTTTATAAGAGATACATAACTGTTCATGATTCTGTTTTTATACTGTAACATAATTTGGGAAACTTTCTGTTTTTCCACGCATGGTATACATTTAAGAAGTTTTAGAAAAATATCAGATACACTTAAGGCTTCACAGAAACAATAATAAATTTTAGCTCTATAATTGCAAAGATCGTATTTATAATTGCATATGTATCAACTATAATATTATAATGATGGATATGATAATGGTTAATATTGCAGATTTTCTATAAGGTGCCTTTCCTGTAAAAGTTTCCCGAAGATAACACAATGAAAAAAAGATTAGTATCAATCTTTGACATTTGATGACACAAAGTGACATTTGATTTAAATGTCAAACAATTTTGGAACTGAGTATTCTTCATACACTTCTTAAACAGTGCGCAGATCTGATATCTAAATCATGCTCATTCATGACTTGTTATAACCCATTACAACATTAAGGGATTACTCTGTGTTAAGGTTTAATTAACTTGATTTACAGTAAATCAGAAAACAGTATATAACAACTGGAGCCTGCCAACAGTAACATTGGGTCATCTCTGAAACTTCATGTTTTATTTTGGTGAGAAAAAGCAGAAGAGAAATTGAGGGAAAGAAGGAAGTCAAAATGTAGAAGGGCCTTGGATAAGGATTTTATGATATTTTTAAAAAAAGGTTTCAAAATTTTTCAGTACCTTCTGGGATTTAAAAAAAAGAAAATAAATGTATTTATTAAGGTATGACCCCTGGCTGTTTATGCAAGGTATAAAATATAAAAACATCAAACAATACTAACACATAAACACATCCAAATACAACTAGGCACCCACACAATTAGCAAACAGCATCTAACCCCTGAATCTCACTCAAACAAGACAGTCTCAAGCTTCTTGCAGAAGACTAATCAGAAGAGTGGCAGCTAGGTGTACCTCTTGAGCAGCCAATGCTGTTTCCATCCTTTGCCTGTGTCTGAATCCAGAATGACATGGGTGCAATTAATCTGCTTCATAAGGATCCTCTGTAGCCAAACTTTCACAAGAAGGAGAGGTTGGAGATGGCAACAGTTCTTCGGCAAGCCTGGATCAAGAGAGGGCATATTGCTGTCTCTTTTAAGGCAGGTGGCATCCAGCCTTCCTCAATGAAGCATTGACCACTTCTCAGATCCAGCCACTCATGCCCACCCTCATTGCCAAAGGAGCCAGCAAGGCATGGATCCAAATCACCTGCACTCACATTCATACCCCAGAGAACACTATTCACTCACTCAGTTTCCATGAGCCCTAATGAATCCCAGATTTGTATTACTTTTTAAATTAATTACACTTCTTAATGAGTGAATGTTAATGGTTTTATTTAGTGATTAATAATTTTCAAAAATAATGTTCCTGCACATATGATTCAACATTATTATTTTAATGTTTGTCCCTCATTATTGTGAAATGCTTGCTTTATAGGAATAGTTCTCTTTATATTTTGAAATGAAACAAATATCTAATGGAACTAAATCTTGGAAGAAGTATTTTAGATGAGTCCCCTATACAGTCTTGAATATCTTGAATTCTATACTATTTTTTGTGAATGTACAGTACTTGCAGCTGTGTCCCATTCATTATTTAATTGTCTGAATGTATATTTCTTATTAGTATTACAAGTCTATTCAAAATGTCACTTGACATGGAAGTAGCCTACTGATTTCTAACAAGTTGTCTCAGGGTGTTAATTCTTTACACCAAGATAATCGGCTGATTTTGATGATTAAAAGATGGATTCTTCTGTTTTCTACCTCCAACTTGTCTTTCTTATCTGCCCTGGCAATGGTAACTCATGCCTTAATCACCACACAGCCAGACTATGGCAATACAGTCTACATGGGGCTGCCTTTGAAGACAACCCAGAAGATGCAGTTGATTCAAAATGCAGCAGCAAAATTAGTGGGAGGACCAACCCACCAATCTAGAATAATGCTTATTCTGTGGTTACCAATAGGCTTCTGGGCCCAGGTTGAGAGTGTTGGTGGTTACTGTTAAAGCTCTACATGGTACAACACAGGGGTGTATCAGACAATGCCTTGCCAGGCTGGAATCTGTCTAGAGGGAGCCTGCTGAGCATCTCCCCTCCTTGACATTCATGGAGCTTGGACAAGATGGAAGATCATCTCAATAGTAGTCCTCACTCTGTGGAATTCCATCCCTGCAGAGATGCACCCAGCCCCTGGTTTTTGCAAGCAAGTGAAATGTATCCTTTTTCAAAGTGTGCTCAGACTGAGATAATAGGGGACATCTCTTTCTCTCAATCTCTCAATTATTAGTATAGTATACCAATTTTAAATCTTTATTATACACTGCCCAGAATCCTTCAGAATTGGGCTCATCTAGAAATACTGCTCAGCACATATATTCATACATGCATGCATACATACATTCAAATATATGGAGATCTTCTGCCTGAAATGTATACCTCACCTCTGGGTTTTTTTTCTTTTGTCAGCCACACTGCCAGCTGCAAACCACTGCTGGAACACCATTAGCAGAAAAAGGCACAGCTGCTCTGCAACCTCAGGAAATCAATTTTTTTTTCATCCACTCCTCTGCATTGGTTGGAATTTATATTCCAGCATCTCTCTGCTATGCTTTGTTTTTTTAATTAGAGACACTGTCTGCCTGTCTGCCTGCCTGCTTTCTTTATTCATTTGATGTAGGGGCTGCCCAATTCCATAAGACTTTGGGTGGCTTTCTATGCTAAAAGGTACCGTTCCCTGTTTCCCAACTCACATTTCACACTTACTCTGCCTGTGGTAGCAAGCACCCAAAGTTGTAGCTATTTTTTTTTAATGAAACAAAAATTAATCTCTCTTTTTTAACAAGATTTGTACAAAAAGATATTAGCATTTCTAAACCTGCTTTTTTAAAAATAATAATAATTGATTTTTAAAGTAGTATGTTTAGGTTTGTACATTTAGGCTGTTTTAGAGCTCAGGTCCAAAGTTCCCATCCTGTTCTTAAGGATTGGCACATCTCTGTTGAAATTCCTCTGTGGTTTAATCTTACATCCATTTTACTAGGAGTACCTCTGACTGAATTCAGTGGGACTTGCTTTTGGATAGGCCTTTGTAGGACCATGCAATAGTAGATACACATCATGTTTCAATGGGAGATGTTACTGTTTCTCTTGCATACAAATGTGTGTACAGATATTATCTGGTTCCTGTACTAACATGTTCTGAATCTCAGCATTTATGAATTTGCATTCCCCAGATCCAGTGGTGAGAAGTTCCAGAAACAGTACTATTCAGCTTCTTTGCTTTGGTTCTTGACTAACTGTGATTTTGTCATTTGTTTTATTTACATATATACAAAAAGAATATATTGAGGCAAACAGACAGCCTTAAGGCAGATAGCACATTATTAGAGATAATTCATTTTGCATCCAAAACTGTATCCCAGTTCTAGGACACTATAGATACTCTAAGCCAGTATTTTTCAAACTTGGCAACTTTAAGATGTGTGGACTTCAACTCCCAGAATTCTCTAGCCAGCCTGTGGGCATTGAAGTCAATACAACTTAAAGTTGCCAAGTTTAAAAAACACTGCTCTAAGCTCTTTGTCTCTCAACTGCATTTCAGCGGGCTTTTGCCTCTTCCACTTATGAGAAAGATTGTCACTTTTCGAAACTCTGTCCATGGTGGCATGTCCCTTAGGATCACACCTAGGGGATTCAGCTTTATCTCCCTTTGGAATTAGTGCTGAAGAGAGATCACTCTTGATTCTTCCTTAGTGGATGTGCAGGAGATGACAAAAGCCACCATTTTTTAAAAGGCATTGGGATGAAGATTGATTGTTCTACTGGACTGTTTTTAGTGCTCTCTACTTTTCTTATTTTTATTACTGAATAAAACTGTTATCACAGTTAACTATATTTTGTAGTTGTTTATTAGCTGTTTTAGTGCTAATAAATGATGTTTGAAATTAATAACAAGATTTTTGGTTTGTTGCTATCCACCTTTGATTCTTCTGAAAAGTTATTGCTTATTGAAAGTGTTTCTTCCCTCTTAAAATAGAAAGGTGAGAGAAATATAATTAAAAATATTC